GCCCTACAGCTTCATTCATGTGCTGTTCCGGCCCTGCAGATCCATGCTCGGGGATGTGGGTGAGAATTTTAGAAGCCAGGTGATTGCTCATCCCTGGGCTAGAAGTTCATAGTGCTCCCTTCTCATCTGAAACTAGCGAAACCACACCCTTTGCCTACAGTTGGTAACAGGCCTCAAGGGGCCCCTTGTCAAGACTAAAAGCCATGGAATTTTTAGCCATGACAACCGGCCCCAAGGTGTAATTACAGGAAGGCATTAGTACCTTGGACGATGAGGTCAATTTCTGACTTGCTTAGCTGACCAGAGCCCACGAGGACCTCGCAGATGTACTTCCCTGTGTCCTTCCGAGTCACCGAAATGAAACGAATCCCCGTGGGTGTGTACTGACAACGGTCTTTGTAGGGGTCTGCAGAGGGAGGGAAGACAGCAAGAGGCTGAGTGCACTTGGAGGTGGAGGAACACAAGTAAGAATCAGACCAGGCTGTCAGTGTGGAGAAGGAGAGGAAGGGAAGCCCCAAGAACCAGCCTCAAAGCAGGGTAAGAAAAAGAGCTGATTAATGGGGTTCAGTTCAAATACAACAACAAGTTTCTCCACTGGAGAGGGTAGAGGCACCCCCGCATACCCAGTAGCCAAGCCAGTCCAGTCAGAGCTGGCTGGGGGACAGAGGGGTTTGTTGCAGGGTTTAAGGGGTGGGTAGTTACATTATGCTGTTGGCTCAGTGCTTTTAAGAAATGAGTTAGCAGGGACAGAGCTGATTCGAGAGACACACACCTAGAACGCTGTGTCTCAGAGCCTAGGTTACACCAGCCACGTTAAAAAAACCACTGTTCTCAAACTGTTCAGTTAACGTGTCTGAGCAACAGAGGTCTACAGAATGTGAGGAAGCCAAAGCCAGGACAGGGGACACAAAATGGCTGATTGGTTCTCATTGCTTTTATAATACTGTAGCATATCCATACAGTTCAGCTCAGCTAGGATTGCAGCAATGCATGCTGGGATTCTGGGAGCCTCTACCCCAAAGGGTCCAGTGCTGTTACTAGGAGAAGGAGTTTCTGGCTAATTTCCAGGTGTGAAGCACTGCAGGAAGATGCAAATGAATCCGTGTAACTGCTGCCAATGCCCACTGCTTCCTGCCCATATTGAACTGGTTCAAAAGGACCTGAGCTAAAGAGCTCACTTCAGATCGGGGTGGATACAAATAAATGATTAAAAAAGGCTTTTCATTTCAATTGGATGTAGACTTATTTAATAACTTGAAATTCTTACAACTTAAATTTAAGGGCAAACTTACTGTAGTCCATTAAAATCAATTGAATTAAATCTTACAGAATGAACAGGCTGTTCGCTGCTGAAGTTTTAAAGTTAGATCACTGAACTGGTGGAGGTCACTGGCTAAGACCCCGAAACCAGAGATTACTGACATGCTAAATCAGCTGTGGATAGCAGTAGCTTCTTCAGCACAGGCAGAGAGCTTCCCCCCTCCCACCCCATTTCAGTCAGTATATTAACTAGATCATCTCATCTGAATTAGGGATGTTAGCAAGTAGCTGAGTGGAGTACTCAACTACTTGTCGTTCCCCCCCCCTCCCTGCCCCTTGCTGCCTCTGTATGAGAGGCAGCAAAGGGGAGGGGGAACAGGAGCTGGTGCTGGGAAGAGTCAGCAGTGCCACCTGCTCCTCCCCCGCCTCCATCAGAGGCAGCAGGGGGGAAGCTGCTGCAAAGCAGCCTCTGCGCACAGCAGGCCAAAGCTTGCCACAGACAGAGGCTGCTCTGATAGCAACACCTATCCGCAGGGGTCCCAGTGGGGAGCTGGGCACCCACACAGATAGGGGCTGCTGCTGCCAAGCAAACCCTGTTCACAGGAGCCAGGGCTGGCTGCGCACAGGGGCTGCTGCCGGACCAGCCTCTGTTCACAGCAGCCAAGGCTGAGCAACCTCTGCCAGCAGCCAGCCCTGGGCGCCGTGAACAGGGGCTGCTAGACTTGGCGCGAGCCGGGACCAAGCAGTCCTGGCTCACGCTGGTCTGGGATGCTGCACCTCTGCATTTTAAATGGAGTAAGAGCCATGGTGACCACAAACGAATCAGTTCAATTCACTGAACTACACAACACTTTACTGCAAAACATACTCTCAGACTTTTCTTATTTATCTAGAGCAGGGTTTCCCAAACTATGGGTCGGGACCCAAATATGGATAGCTAGCTTCGCGTCTCCCTGGTCTGCTGGGGGGGAAGCAGCTAGTGCAGGGTTGCCTCACCCCATTTGTAAGTAGGGATCTGATGTAAGTCGGATCCATGTAACCCGGGGACTGCCTGTACCCTAGGTTTGCTGGAGTTAGTTGCAAATGAACATGTTTAATGAATACTGATTAAGTCTCCAATTCAATGGGTGAACCATACTAAGCTAAAGAGGCACCAACCAGCTGTAGCAGCACCCCTTCCCCAGCACTGAAACCTTAACTCTGGCCCAGGTGATGCCTCCCGCTCATCCCCACAACCAGGGTGGCCAACTTTCTAATGGCAGAAAACTGAATACTGCTGCCATACCCTGTGCCCTGAGGCCCAGCCCTTTCTCTGAGGCTGTGGCCCCACTCACTCCATCCCCCCTCCCTCCCTCGCTCATTTTCACTGGCCAGGGGCAGGCAGTTGGTATGCAGGGGGGGAATAGGGCTCCAGCTGGGAGTGTGGGCTCCTGGGTACGGCTGGGGATTTGGATGCAGGAGGGCTCCATGTTGGGGTAAGAGGTTGGGGAGTGGCACCAGAAATGAGGCATTCAGGTTATGGGAGTGGATTCAGGGCTCAGGCAGAAGGCTGGGGTGCGGGCTTCAGGAGGGGGCTTGGGAAGGAGTGGGAGATGGTTCAGGGTGCAGGCTCCAGGTGAGGCTCAGCTCAGGCAGCTACCAGACAGCAGCCAACATGTCCCTTCCCCTGTGGGATAGCCAGGTGGCTGTGTGTGCTGTCCCCCACCAGCAGTACCACTCCTGCAGTTTCCATTGGCTGCAGTCCCTAGCTAAAAATGAGCTGGGGAGCCAGCAAGGCCGCCTCTGAGCTGGAAAGACATGCCATCCAGAGCCACACTGCGGAGCCAGGCAGGGAGTCAGCCAGCCGCACTGCACTGCCAGTCAGATTTAATGGGACAGTCAGTGGTGCTGACCGGAGCCACCTGGGTCCCTTTTCGACCAGGTGGTCTGGTCAAAAACCAGACAGCTGGCAACCTTACCCACAGTGGTGACTGCTGTCCCACAAGGATGAGCCCAGCTTCCTACACCAGGTATTGTGACCTGGTGTGTGAATTCTTGCATCACTCAAGTTTGGCTCCTCCCTTAGACAAGGCAAAATCTGAGCCATGCCACTATCCCATGCACCAGGCCACAGCACCAGGAGCAGAGACACAGAAGCTGACGTTGCAGGATTGACATAAGGTAGGCCCCCTTTGGCTTCCCATTCACAACCAGCTACAAAACAATACATTTTCCCTGGTTTTGCACCCTTGGTTTCGTGATTTCTGTGAGTGCAAATGAACCCATCTACGCATGCTAAACCCACCAAAGAAAATACCTAAAAAAGTACAAATTCCAAGTAAGATAAAAATCGATGATTTAAAGCATGGGTTCCCAAACTGGGGGCATGCCTCCCCTGGAGGGAGTGTGAAGAAATTCAAGGGGGGGCGCGAGGCAATCCAGCCACACACATCCCCGTCAATCCCACTCCAAGTGTTGCTGCTATTTTTTGGGAGGGGGGATGTGAGGGTTTCTCAAAAATCAAGTAGGGGGCGTGATGCCGAATAGTTTGGGAACCATTGATTTAAAGCAACCCAGCTTGTGGCAGATGCTGCAACCAGCTGGTACAACCAGAGACCATCAAGGGGCCTCAGAGGTGCAGTAGAGTGGAGTCACATACCTGTAAATTTGGCATCATAATAGAACAGCACAGTTGAAGAACCCTTTTCAAACTTCCACTCCACTCTGGGTGGTCCGGTTTGTGAGACGTATGCATCACAAGGTATTTCAACGCCTGGAAAGAAGCAGCAATAAGTCAGCGTTTGCACAACACCCCAAGGTACAAGCTGCCACAGCTAGCAGAGCTAAGGCACTAATATATCTGTTTTAAAAAGGGACTTGGAGTCTGGTTTCCAATATACCCAGAACCATTTACATGGTAGTATGATAGGATCATCATTCCTGAATCACGAGAGCTGGGAAAAAATGCCTAACGGTGTAAGGTTAAAAGAGCTGGTTTACTCACGGAAGAGAAGACTTGGGAGGTGACATGATGTTGGCGCATTGTGTATACATACATCTCTCTCTTTTATTTTTTATATATATATATA